GCAGATCTTATTTTCATAACTCTTTCTTCTAATGTGGAAGAAATAAAGCCTCAAAGGTAAATGACACCCTAGTCACCCAGACCCTACAACAAGGAATGGAGTCGTGGTTTTAGTCCATTCTTCTACCTCCAAATAAGAAACTTTTCTAAGCAAAAGATCTAAAATTAATAAAGATTTTTTTCTGATGAAATTCATACAAGTGTTTTGTAAAATTTTCTTGGGACAAAGTCACAAATACTGTATAGGAAGACCACCTTTCCATTGTCTTTGAATCCCACGAAAAATTAGAAGTCATTCTCCACTTAAAAAATTCAATTTCAGCATTTTATTCTTTTGACGAAAACATCTGCTTTAACAGAGTATTAGAGACTTTGGAATGCGAGATTCTATCTGTTCAATTTTCTTGTCTTTTAAATGAAATTACATCTTAAAAGTGAGAAGTGAGATTTCTGCTATAACTGTAACTATATATTTTGTAGCCTTCAAGAAATTAGTTTAAGTTAATTTTTATTAAATGCCTTCTTTCCAGTGGGAGAAAATGAGAGATCATTACATGCTCTAGATAGCTGCATGTTTAAAAACTAGGGATTTATGAGAATTGTCATAAAGTTATATATAATAAAAGAAGCAAAACTCCAAATTCTATTTTATTCCTATTAGACATATACATACATATTTTATATTTCTATATTCAATTCATGAATGATTTGATGATGGATCTTATGAGCAGTAAAAATTCTTACATTCTTAAATATTATAACCAGCTGCTTTTCTTGGTTATATCTCAAAACCAGAAGTAGTCATGTTTAAATGTTATACTAGGGTTGTAGATAAAGCATTATAGCTCACTAAACATGGGGGAGAAAAATTTGTAGAGAAACAAAGCAGCATTTTCTCTGCATACAAAGAGCACTACAAATAGCAGTTGCTTATTTTCACTTTCATTTGTTGTAAGAACATTTCATTTTCAGTGAAATCTCATAGATGTGAATATCTTATTTTTTTGTCTGTAAGTGACTCACTCAATTACTTTCATAGAATATTTAAATATTGAAATTCATATTCCCCTGCCTTTTTGAGTTGAAGGTATTGGAAATAAATAAATGTTCATCTGATGAAGCAGGGCACCAATTGTTGTGCACACGAGCTATCTTGGATATTTGTGTATATTTTCACATGATCAAATTTTCTGACATTTTAGATAACTTTGTAGTTTAAGGGTTCTTTTACAATTTAAAAATTAGTTTTCGGATTTCTCTTATGTGGCTGTTAAATTACTCTTTTTGCTAACCTCAGCTTTAGTTAAAAACCTTTTTATCTCTCCTCACCCCTTCCAAGTTCAGTGACTTTATTCTTTATGCCTGCAAGTATATGAAAAATTATTTATTTGAATATAAAAATGTCATAGCTCTAAGAGATTACCAATGTGGGCCAAGGGAATGAACTTTGCTAAATGGATATTGTGACACATTGGTTTCTTAAAGGTTGTTTATGCACACATTTTTTTTGTAACACTGAGATTTTAAGTCACTTGATAACTATCTCTACATACGTGAAGCACTACTACCTATCTGTTGCTTTCCTCAATCTACTGACAGATCAGCAGTTTTAGTCATAAAATCAGCAACAATATCTCTGTTATAAAGAGATATATCTACTGTGGAATTGACTCTAGACAACTCTTTCTCATGGAAAAATTCTATATTAATTGGGATTATAAAAGGAAATGTGTCAGCTATATGTAAGCGTATTCATAAATTATGGTATCCACACTAAATGGATCTGAACCCAATATGTCCCAACTCTGTCTGGGCTGACTTTCATAGTGTATTGACATTTGTTTGGGTGTGTTGTATCAATCTGATTCATAAGACTCAATGAACAAGGTCAGAGCATCTGCCTACAGATGGTCCAGTTTCATAGTTATTATTGATAGGGCTACTTGGAGTTGCACTTTGGTAACTCTGGTGCTGTTTCCCTTAGAGTATCATCTAACTTCTTGAATTCAGAATCATGACTCTTTTCTCATGTCCTCTTGGAAATAATGCCTCATTTAAGTCAGCCTTTAAATCAACACATATATTGAGTACCCCTAATATGTTCGAGGAGTATAAAGAAAATACATTGCAGCAATATTTCATACATTTTTGTGATCACAAGTATTGTTTATATGCAAAGTAAAAGCAAGCTATTGCTTTACATATGGAGCATATACATTGATTTTTCTCATTTTGAAAAATAGAATTTAAAGTCATATCATGTTGCTGATACTATATCTTGAATCAAAGGAATATTTTTATTAGTCAAATGACTCAATGAAAAATTATCACTCTTGAATGAAATTTAGGAAGAAACTGTCAATGGACAATAAAATCTCCAGTTTTAATTTACCTCCTTTGGAAGGAAGGTCAGGGAGGGTTGGCCTTGGAATGATGGGCAGGAGGAGGGACACACAAGGGAGGGCAGCACTGCTTTTTTGATGCCTGAGGTATTACATCTCCAAGTCAACCCTGCTCCTTTATTATTTCTGGAACACGAAAGGTCTACACTATAGTGTTTAAGAAAAGAATGCACCATGCTTCACTCAATCACATCCACACTGAAACAGTCCAGGCTCACTGGAGATTTTCCTTCAGAGGACAGAAGTGAGAGAGTAAAGTCCTGAAGTAATGTAGAACCACTTCTGTAAGTGCTTTCTGTACCTGTGATCTCTTTCTCTTTATAGACATCTTTTATATGTCACCTCCCAGTTTTAGAGAATGCTAATCATGTATGTGTGTGTTGAGAGGTTGAAATGCCCTATGTTTATACCTTCAGAGCTAGATTATAAGCCCTTTGGGCTCAAAGTTTGAAGATGCTTTTGGCATGTACTCAAATAAAGAGATTGAGCAGTCCTGTTTTAATGCTATAAACAAAAACATACTTAGATCTGTGAAGGTTGTGTTTTTACTCAAAGTGAAGCAGTTAGAGGCACAAGCCAGGCAACAAAAGGAAAGGGCACTACCTTAAACAGGATCATTCGAACAGTTGGGTTTGGCTGAAACAAGGCTCTGGGTTTCATTCAGAGTCTTTGACTTTAAATTTTTAAGAGGTCCTTGGAAAGGAAGAGGTCATGGTACAGATAAAGCTGTCAGAGAAGGAAACAACCAAAAGAGCCCTTTTGCTTTGGGAAATAGAAAATACCTCTAATGTTCCCCCTCTCTCATTCTTCCTACAGATGATATTTTGTAAGAAATGGCTACTTCAAATCACTCTTCAGTGACTGATTTTATCCTTGAAGGATTAACAAAATGTCCAGAGCATCAGCTGCCACTCTTTCTCTTGTTTCTTGGAATCTATGTGATCACAGTGATGGGCAACCTGGGCATGATCCTCTTAATTGTCATCAGTTCCCAACTTCACTCTCCAATGTATTATTTTCTCAGTCATTTGTCCTTCATTGATCTGTGCTACTCCTCTGTCATTACCCCTAAAATGCTAGTGAACTTTGTGTCAGAAAGGAACATTATCTCCTTTCTGGAGTGCATGACTCAGCTCTACTTCTTCCTTATTTTTGTCATTGCTGAAGGGTACCTTCTGACGGCCATGGCCTATGACCGTTACATTGCTATCTGCAGCCCACTGCTTTACAATATTGTCATGTCTCATAGGGTCTGTTCTATAATGATGGCTGTAGTATACTCACTGGGTTTGTTTGGGGCCACAGTTCACACCACCTGTATGTCAATGCTGTCCTTCTGTGGATCTCACATTGTCAGTCATTATTTTTGTGATATTCTGCCCTTACTGACCTTATCTTGCTCCAGCACTCACATTAATGAGATACTGCTGTTTATTATTGGAGGCGTCAATACCTTAGCACCTACACTGGCTATTCTCATCTCTTATACTTTCATCCTCTCTAGCATCCTCCGTATTCACTCCACTGAAGGACGGTCCAAAGCCTTTGGTACTTGTAGCTCCCATCTCATGGCTGTGGGCATATTTTTTGGGTCTATAACATTCATGTATTTCAAGCCCCCTTCCAGCAATACTATGGACCAGGAGAAAGTGTCCTCTGTGTTCTATACCACAGTGATCCCCATGCTGAACCCCTTGATCTACAGCATGAGGAACAAGGATGTGAAGAATGCCTTAAGGAAAGTGGCTGGGAGGAGGCAGGCATCCTGATAAAGTGGGATCTCACCAGGAACAAGAAAAAACAAATCAGATGAAAAGTTGTCAGAGGCTTTTGCACTCTTCTTTCTCTCTTCCAGAGAGAAAATTAATCATTATTTAGAAAATATGTATTTTATACTTGACAATATTTGAGACAAAACAATAAAATATTCTGCAAACATAATATTTGGAAATGTTTTAGTGAAATAGGAGTTGACAGAGAGGAAGGGCAAATGAATATTACAAATTTTATGATTATGATGATGATATTGTCTCTCCTGCTGGAAACTAGAGATAATATAGTTAAATAGGAAAGGTTTTTCTGAGTATTGGAACAAGAATGTGTACATGCACATTTAGTTAATATTCCAGATTCTATAGATATTAGGATACTACTGTCCCTAATATACTGCCTTATTCACTCTCAAAAGACATTGTACAAAGGAAGTGGATTTAGTCACCTTGGGGGTAAGCCTTAGAATTAAGCATCTTATTTCCTTAAAAGAGATAAAATGTAATCATACTATATACAGAGTCTGCCAAAAAATGTATGTATGTTTCAGAAGAAGAAAATGATTGAATATTTGGAAGTTAAGGTCCACCATTTGAGTCCCTCTTGTAATTGTAGAGGCTAAATGTAATTTTCACTAATCTCATGATGTCTCAATAAATTTAGTATTAAAATATTTATACAAGTTTTTCTTTTCCTGAAGTGTATGTATATTTTTGACAGACTCTGTATGTTTTTATTCATTAAGTTTATTGGTACATTTTAGGTATAAAGTATGATGACATTCACCATTGGGAATTTGTACCTTTACATGAAATATCTTGGTTCTTATTTATTTCTCCATTCCCCAGACTCCGTATTTTTTCGAGTTTAAAAATACTTTGATAAATTTAGCAAACTGCAAAATACAAGTTTAAAGTTAAACATTAAAAGAATATTAAGACAACAGTCTAGGCAATCAGCAAAAATATAAAGTAGTCTTCATGGTAAGTAAGGGAAGAGCATATTTTAGTTGGTTGTTTCAGTGTTTCAAAAGATAAGGACAGGAGTAGATAGGCTTTCCATTTTTATGACTTTATAATTGCTTCCCACATCTATGATCTTTTCCTCTATGTGTATTTGGGATGAGATCCTGTGCAGCCTCCAATCAGCCTGCAGTCTCATAGGCTTCACACAGCTTTTACCGAGGGTGTGGAAAAGACTATTCCTTTCAAGGTGCTAATGAAAAATAATTATCTTGGACTCTTTATTAGCTTTCTATGCATTCTGTAACAAATTTCCAGCAATGAAATAACTTAAAACAAAAGATATTTACTCTCCTACAATTCCAGAGGCTAGAAGTTTAAAAAATAGGATTAATGGGCCCAAATTAACTCTTGACCAGTTTTCATTCTTTCAGTAAGTCCTACAGATAATCTCTTCCTTGCCTCTTCAGTCTTAGATTGCAGTTGCATCACTCCTATTCCTGGCTCTGTGGTCACAAAAGAGGAGACAGTTTTGTGTGAAATTTACCTGTTATCTCTTCTAAGGACACACTTGCTTCCTTTTAAGATTTAAGGTAAACCTAGATAATCCATCTTTCCACATCAAGATCTTCAAAGTCATACATTTGGAATGCCCTGCCACCTTTCATATAAAATAACATTCATGGCTACCGTACTTGAGAAATATATGCTTTAGTCTACCAGAGAACTTCATGCACACTGGACATCTGAGATTAATTTAAATGTCACATATTCTCCCTGGGACTCTTATAGTATTTTTTCCACATTAAGTTTATTGATACATTTTAGGTATAAAATACATTTACATACATCACTGGGATCTTATACCATTGCATGAGTATCTTGGTTCTTATTTTTTTCCCCTTCCCCTGCCCTCCCTTCACTCCCTC